AAATGTCCTCTTTATGTGCGTCTCCTCCGTCAATTAAGGGTAGGCAACGCATCTGCAACTGCGGATGTTTATGGGCAGTGGTCGCTTTCTATTTCGGTGGATTCAGGTGACAGATTGCTGATATGCCGCCTTATATAATAAAAAAAATCTGCATTCACAATTCTCTAACTACATATTACTTACCTAAATGAAGAAGGGCATTTATCGCATTTATAAGGTCGTAGATCGCTGTGACAGATTTTGTGTGCTTTCAAATTACTCTTTGTACTTAGGAATTTGCCGCAAACTTCACATTGATGAGGCAACTTGCTCTCTGGCACGTGTCTCTCATCTGTTATATTTTCATCATCTATATTTTAGAAGAATAAAAAAAGAATAATTAAAAGGAGATGATACACAGAAAATTGACTCTGAACTTTAATTAAATATAATGTAGTAATAAATATAGCCTATGTAACTTAGTAATATTTTTTCATATTGGTCCAGTAGTTTTTGAATTTATTTATGACAGACAAAAATAAGAATCTTTTCTGTTTTAATTTTAGTAATCATGAACATCTGGAATAAATTAAAACATGTTTACTTCTTTAACATTAAAGTTTAATAAACCAATTGGAATTTTTTTTAACACTTACTTTTCTTTCGTTTTCCCCTTTTCTTTTTAGGTAGATCTCCATTTACATCATCTGTGGAATAAATTAGTTAATTAAAAAAAAAAACATCAAACAACTCGGAAGTTTGAAATAGAAATATACCTATAGATTCTCTTTTAGATTTGAGTTCTTTGAGTAGCAAATTATCATCGTCAGCATCCCAACTATCTTCATCTTCAACTTTGTACTCTGGTTCTGGAAACAGATAATCTAATTACTGTATTTGTAAAATGGTGTTTAAAAAAAAATTACAAATGGGAATGATTAAATGTTTGTTACTATGTATCTCCTAAACAGCTTGATAGATCTCTATTAAATTTGTCATGGATGTAAGACATAGTTTGGAAGAACACAAAGACAACTTAATTTTGAAAGAAATATGTTCATTCAAAAAAAAAAGGAATTCATTTGGCATATGCTGAGGTGTACACTAAAGTGCCAGTTTTCAATGAATCCTAATATAGATCATGGAGTTGTACAGAATAGAAGAATAAAAATGCTGCTAATTAGTTCTTTTATTCTGTACAATGTCCAGCAGTGGACAAATAAAAGTAGCTGAACATAATCATATTTAGGCAATTTTATACATCTTACCTAATTTAATAGCATCATCTGATTTGATCAGATCTTCAACAGATTTAACTGTATTTTGTAGTACATTGGCAATATCACCATTGACATTTTCACTAGAATTCTCAACCTTGATATTACAATCGCCAGTGACTTCGTTCCATCCATTTTTTTGCTTATGTTTTAAATGTGATCTTAATTTTTTATCACTCTCTTCGCATTGCATATTGAATGTATATGCACGTTTAAGCTGTCTGGTACAATCTTTGCAGATTAACTTGGGTAATCCATCATCTTTACATGGCTAAAAAATAAAACCATTAAAAAAATGAAGACGTAGGTAAGCCAAATCGTCAGGACAAATGTAAAATCATTGATAAAACTGTATTAATTTTATACGAACATTGAGTTTTGTACAATTTACAAGCATTTCGACGTATAAAGTATTAGTTTTAACATAAATATTTGTGTAAATGTCGTATTTTTCTTTTTGGTCGGATTCAAGGCAAATTCTACATGTTTTGTCAAAATCCATCTTAATTTGTGTTTGATAAATAATAGTACGTTTGTAGTTTTGGTATAAATCACATTATATTATAAAAACTATCGTCTTTATACATCTACATTCAAAAAACTGTAAATAGTATTTATCCAATGTACTGTTGCTGTTTGACATATTTATTTTCGACCTCTTTTGATTTTGAGTGACGTTTCTTTAAATTGGTAGCGTGTCGTTTAAAGCATTGGAATCTAACTAACAACCTTTGTAAAATACCTTTATTTGAATTTAAAATGAATTTGATATTAATGTCTTCATTTCTTTTTGAATGTGTGTTAATTCCATTCATACAACGCGTGAAGTATGAAGTTGATAATTATAAAAAAAACATATTTAAAGACGGAGAAAAAATATTACAGTTTTGACTGGTTTTGACAGCTAAATACGGAAATCACAATTGACAACTAATGACAACTAAGAAAAACAAAATGTCGGTGTGTTGTTGTGATTAAATGCTGGTATAATCCGAATTAAACAGAACATTTAACTTTCGTATTATTCTTGTTGCGAGCTACTGAATAAAATTATACTAGATCCGAAAGATGTCTTCTCTACAAAAATCTATCATGAAAAGCAAATTGCCGCCCCGTGTACCGCGATCATCGGGAATTGCAAAGTAAGTTTACATCAGAATATTACCAATTTTTGACTATTATTTTTTACTTTCTGTATTATTAAACATATATTTAGTATTGTATTTTACCGTTCGTAAGCTTCTAATTCATAAAAAACAATAAACATTGCCAGTAACTCGGACTATAAATCGCATAATTAGATTCCGATTGTATAATGTATCTTACAGATTAGCTCCGTTTGGCACTTCTCGTCGCAAAGACTATTCTCCGGTCTCTTGGAAGCAGTACTTCGATAATAACGTAGACGTGGAAACTGAAGCTGGTACCTTCAGGGTGTATATGTCTCCTGAGCCTGACCATCCATCGCGTCCGAGGATATTCACTCTACACGGTGGTGGATATTCTGGTCTTAGCTGGTCTTTGTTTACTGTGAGTATATTATACATGAGAATTCAATATATTCATTGTTATGAAAATCTACTTAAGAATGGCTTAGCTCACAAATTATCTTTTAGTGATCCAACTAGATTCTAATCTGTCAAGCCTCAGTGTGTCATGTGAGTCAAGCCATAAATAAAGATTTAAATAAATATACTTTGTTCTTTTTATGTTTCAGGAAGAGATAACAAATATGATTCACTGTCAGGTTGTATCAATGGATATAAGGGGGCACGGTGAGACTAAAGTAATGGACCCAGATGATTTGAGTATAGAGACATTAGTTAGGTGAGTAAAAACAAAAAATTTTGACTCATCTTTATCATTACAGAAAGCCTTTCAGTTTATTTTTCCTATCAACTCTAGCTTAAGATGCACTATAAAAAATTACCAAATGAATTCTACTCTAAAAATTTATTTCAATTCTACTTCCTTCTCTCTCCCTCTACATAATAAAGATCAGCTAATCAGTGAACTTTTGTGTGTGTCTTGTGACAAGAATTAGTTGTACTACACTGGCAATATTTGTCCATTCCTTGATATTTCCCAACCACAATTTCTCTCTTCGTCCTGTGCATTATGTGATTTTGCCCATCAATTCTACTCTAAAAATCACTATAAATATATTGGTGTAGTAGTAGTAGTAGTAGTAGTAGTAGGGGCTACGGTTTCCGCAACTCCACGACTAGCGCGTATTTTGCGTGAGAATAGGACATGGATTACTCCAGCCAACCCAGCTCACCGAAGAACCCCAGGGGACCCTTTATATTGCTGGTGATCTCCGGGAGCGATCTCGGCGAACAGAGATACCTAACCTTGTATTCAGTCACCATTCGGCAGTGCTGTATGATGTGTATATATATTGGTGTATTTACATAACCTAAGTCCATGTTGTTACCTTACAGAGATGTAGAACAGGTGATACAAAAGTTATATGATGAAGAGCCACCCCCTATAATACTGCTGGGTCACTCGATGGGGGGTGCCATTGCAGTCCGGGCTGCACACTCCCCCGTTATTGAACCGTTTATACATGGCCTTGCTGTTATTGATGTTGTTGAAGGTATAATAATTTTTTATTGTGAAATATTAACAAAACATACTAAATAACTATTAATTTTGGCTTAGTGTCAGTTACGGATGGATGTTTACTATTTACTTAAATGAGTGTTTGTTATTAAAAATCTTTAAAATGGCTTAACCAATCTCAATGAAAGTCACAGATGTAGAACATAGTCTGGAACACAGGATAATTTTTTTTTATTCATGTGGATGGATGGCAGACAAAGGCAGGTTTCTTATATGGATTTCTAAAATTTATATTTGAAATGTTAAGATTTAGTTGACTTTATAATGATGTTAGTATAGTTTATGTCCTAAGTGAAAGAATGAATTTCTTTTAATTTCATTGTAGTTAATTAACTTTAATTAATAGGATAATTCATTACCCCCATATTAAGGTAGGCTCCGAGCCCCTCGGTGGGGACGTATAATGAGCTGGTGATGATGATGATGAATAGGATAATTTGTCATTTCAGGCACAGCTATGGAGTCTTTGGCCAGTATGCAAGGTTTTCTTAGAGGAAGGCCGACACACTTCAAAAGCATTGAACATGCTATAGAGTGGTGGTAAGTTACATCTTAAGGTAATTTTAAAAGCCATGAAAATAGATGTTTTAGTGTTTTTTTTATTATTATTTTCAGCATTCGAAGTGGACAAGTCAGGAATTTAGAATCAGCTAAAGTATCAATGCCCAGTCAGATTCTGAAGTAAGTATCTTGTTAATAAACGAACTGTTGCCCGCAAACTTCGTTAGCGCAAATTTGGACCACCTGTTACGCCATTTTGACAGCGCGGAATTTTAAAAAGTCTATAATATGCCTGTCCATGTCAGCTAGCCTTCGGTGAACGTCCCGTCGAAATCGGTTCAGCCGTTTCGGAGATTACCCGGAACAAACGTGGTTTGCGGACAGACATATAGACAGACAGAAGTTTTTTAAATGCCATTTTTGTTGTCAGCAACGCAAATACATCATGTTCCCGAAATCTGGAATTTTTCTTTTGATATTACAAACAGACACTCCAATTTTATCTTATTAACTAGCTATTCCCGTGCCGCTTCATCCGCATGAAAATTTTATTTTATTGTTTACATTTGTCAAATTATCAATAGTAAATGTCAAAATGACATGACATGACAAACCTTAGCAATCTTTCTTTCTTGACGTTGGCAGCAACTTATGGTTTCATTCCCACATTAGGGTTTTTATCCAAAATATTTGCCCCCTAAGTTTAATGGCGTTAAAATATATAGCCTAAAGAGTGACGTGAGTGTAGGGCTTCTTATGAATAAGAGAATTATTCAAAAATATTCTGTAATTCCTGACATCTTAGGCAACAAAAGTGTGTGTTTACTTTATTATAATAGTATAGAGTATAGATAAATGCGAAATCATCACCAGCTCTCTACATGTCCCTACCGAGGGGCTCGGAGCCTACCCTAATAATAAATGCGAAATAGTAGACAATGAACTCTAAACATAATAACTTTATTTTACAGTGTTCAAACAGGTAAGTTAGCTATAAACGAAGTGGATACATACAAGAAAGAAGATGCACCTCGAGCCCCGGAGCCCACACGGCACGGACCTCATGCTAATTGCATCACCGAGGAGAGTGATGAAGAAAGTGATACCAGTGAAGCGAGTGAGGCTAAACTAGCCAGAACTAACTCATTGAATGAAGACAAATTAATCAGAACTGACTCTAAAGAAGATATAGAATGTTCTAGAATGGATTCTACAAGTAAAGACACGAAATTGATAAGAACAGATTCGACTAACTCGGAGAATGAAGACAGTGCACTAGTGAGACTGGACTCAAGTGAGGATGCGGAAGCCAGTAATTCGAAGCTAGTGAAAACAGACTCTACGGAGAAAGATCAGAGCGCTACTTTTGCGGTTCCGAATGCGGTCGGTGATGGTGCTTCTATGAAGTAAGTGTTCTGATAGTTTTTTAACGAGATAAATTTTTTATTTAATGTTAATGCTTCTTTTAGTGGATATCAATAGATTTATAACAAACTATCTATCGCCCACGACTCCGTCCGCGAGGTATTAAGATAAAGTATGTTTTGTGTCCTTCCAGGCAATACTCTACATCTATGCAACATTTCATTTGCGAAAGTTCAGATGGATGGATGGATGTTTGAGAGTTTGTAGCATAAACGGCTGAACGGATCTCAATGAAATTTGGTATAGATGTAAGGGATAGTCTGGAAGAACACATAGACTACTTACATTTGTTTCTTTAATTTCCGCGCGTCGAAGTCGCGGGCGAAAGCTAGTTTAAAATATTAGTAAAATTGCAACTTCACATACAAAATTAGGTTCATATTGTTAGAACCGTTTTAAATCAGTTTAAGACCTTATACATTAATAGTTTTTGTAGATGACTTGTATAATATCTTGTTTTTTATATTACTAAGATGTTAACTATGTTTGGTTCGGATGCGGGTTATTTCGGTTATCTTAGTGGTTTCTTGTAGATACAAATGGCGTATCGAGTTGTCGCGTACGGAGCGGCACTGGGAGGGCTGGTTCGGAGGACTGTCCTCCGCCTTCCTGCACACGCGCGCCCCGCGCCTGCTGCTGCTCGCCTCGGTCGATGGACTGGACAGGGAACTGACTGTTGGACAGATGCAGGGTAATGAGAGCAGGGTTAACAGTGGTGTGGAGGGAAATTTAGCGCGAAATTATGTGCCAGGGACGTCGCTTAGGATAGATTTAGGGGATGGGCAACTATTACAAAAAAAGTTTTTGTTTTTTTACAATATTTAGCAACTTCCATTTGTAAATAAGTTTGGGAAGACCAAAGTCGTAACCAAATAATAAACAGATTTAAACTCTATAAGGTTTCTTTAGATTTAAACAGTTTAGAGTAAGTTTTGGTGTTTCGTTTAAAAAAATTGTAATGCATTATATTTACAGGCAAGTTTCAAATGCAAGTGTTAACGAGATGCGGCCACGCCGTGCACGAAGACACGCCCGGAGAGGTGAGAACATTTAATTTGATCTTATACAGGATGTTTATTAATTCTAATTTCAATAAAAAGTACAAAGCGACTTATTAAATAACCGAATTCTTCTATACTATGTTTTATATCAAACCAAATCTCATATACGTTAAGTTAGTAACTAACATCCATACAAAATATCGCATTTATAAAATATACAAGCTTTTACCGACTCCGTCTGCGCGAAATTGAAAATAACTTGTAAAAGGAACATAGGCAACGTTCCTTCCAGGTTATATTCTAAATCTGTGCCAAATCTCATCGAGATCCGTTAAGTTAGTCCGTAGTAACAAACATCCATCAATCCAAATCCCCGTATTAGTATATTTTATGATGTATCCAGGTTGCTAGAGTGGTCGCGTCGTTCATTCTCCGACATCGGCTGACGACGCCCACTGAGAATGGGGAACATATGCACCTCGTCTCCGCACCTGGCTGTTGAATTTATACTACTTGTATACATGAAGTATACAATACGTCTTATATCGTATAGTCGGATTCAATAGAATTTAAGATTTGTATAAGATGTAGTATACAGGGTGATTCTTTACATACGGATCAACGGTTTTGTTGTTAGCGGTCCATAATAGCTATCGTTTAAGCGCAAAAAATGGCTAACGGTACGAAAGGTCAATTTGGCTTGTTAAATAAAGAAAATGACCATTGTAAACACATTATTTAGGACGTATGATAAATTTTTAGTATAATACAAAAAATTAAGTAACTGATACTATGGAATATCGGACATATTTTGGCCTTAAACGATAGCTCTTGAGGTCCCCTAACTCCACAAAACCGTTAATCCAGCCGTTAAAAATCATCCTGTATATGTTTTATACATATACATAACGTCTTATACAAATTGTATAATCGAATTCTATGAGATTCTAACACACCGATCTAAACAATTTTACCTTTACAATTCTGGTATTACCAACTTATTAGAAACAAATGTCTTTGTATTATCAATTTAAACATTTAAAAAAAAAAACCATAGACAAAAAACTTTGTCAGTTGTGTATACATGTTATTTCTATTGAATTCGACTATACGTCTCGCATTGCAAGATTTAAAGCAAAAATGAACAATTAAAATACATTATAATAGAAAACAGTTTACAAATCCACCTTTATTATAAATTTCATCGTCTCAGTTAAACTGCATTCTTGATGGTTACAGTTATTTTAGCGTTATAAAGTAGTCCTTTGGATTATTCCCAACCGTCACCCTGTCCTGTCCCCACGTGGAGACAAATAATAATAAAAAGTTTCATTCGTCCCATCTTTTGCGACGGGGTGACGGTTGGAACTTATTTTATTTCCTAAAGGTTCCATCTGTCACCTTATTGGTTATAGTAGGACGGATGAAACTTTATTCTCACGTGGGGACAGAGCGGGGTGACGGTTGGAAATAATCATTACCTTTGCTATCTTGTGAAGTAGTTAAATGTGTATAGTTCTTTTCAAATATCTTGGCTGCTCAGTTGTACAGAGCTCTCCATTCCGTCATACTAAATTATGTTCTGAAAAAATTCGCGTAAAGATACGAGCATTCAAGATATTTGACAACTTGACTTAGCATTAGGTGAACTTTGCCTTTCTACGTACTTCCTTAAAAAAAGTCTAATTAATGCTATACAGTGCTCATTTATTTAATGTATTTTTGATTGATTAATATTTTTGGGAAAAAATAATTGTTATATTGGGAAAATACGATATTTTATTATAGAAATCTCTTCATTCAACGTTTAATCAGATGTATAAAATTCAAATTAAAAAACAATTTATTGTAAACAGGGTAAAAATTAAATATATTTTAAAATCTTGAAAGATTGATAAAAATTCAACTCATCCGTGTTTTCATTCATTTTAAGAGTATTCCTTATTTCTATGTAAAAAATTTATGAAGAGAACTAAGTTTTTCATAGCTTATATTTGAAGTCTCTTTATTGTATTTATAGCTTTTAATGCTAGAAATATATTTTTATGTGTAAACTAAAGTGGTCCCAGAATAGATCCCGGGGGGAAACCCATTACAAATACGATATTCACTAGTAAAATAGTAGAATTTACTAATATATTCTATTCTATATATTAGCAAGATTATTTTAACAATAGAAAACACTAGTATTTTCTTAAAATTTACATTTGGCAACTTATAGTCTAGTTAACGTTATCAAAGGCTTTTGTCAAATCGCTTAAGCGGTACTAATGATCTCTTGGTTAAGTATTAATTTTGCTAGTGTTCAGTTTCTTATTTAATTATCAGGTGGTTGGTGACTTTGAGGCCTAAATTAATTTCTAGTATTTAAACCCAGTTTTATTTGCAATGATCGATTGCGTAAAATGAAATTTCCGGTTATCATTTGTCCGTCCTGTTTGGTTTTTAATTTGATTTTGACACTCGTTATATCTACACTGTTTAGTTTTGCTTATTGATGTTTTATTGATATTTTGTTCGCTCAATCATTTTTAATCGTATATAAAATTTACCATTTGATTTCATATTCTAGATTTATATCCAAATATAAATCTAGGGTTAGGCTGAACTTATCTTATATACGTATTTATTTCATAAATGAAAAATTAAAATTCTCTAGTCAGGTTCCCCTTAGTAAGTTTCCTCAATGACTTTTAGGCTAAAAACCTGGTAGCCAAAACCATATAGCAGTAGAGGTGATGTTTTTTTTTAATTTGTTTTTAATTGATTATTGACTTTGAACTCGAAGTAACTCTTAATTTTACGATTAGGTTTGTATTTAGTAAACCAAATAAGTTTTTAACTTTCCTATGAAATTATTTTAACTGGTTGAAAAGATCTGTTTGTGAAATCTAAATTGTATAATGTTTATTAGCCGTGGAGTTCTATTTATGTTTGTAAATGTTTTTTCAGTGAAAATCCACGGTTAGTTATTTAATTTCTCCTATATATGTAAGTTTTTGTTTACCCAAGCTTGTTGGTAAGCAAAGTTGAAGATATATTTATTTAAATTTCCTCAATAAATAATTATAAGTGCTTTGTTCTTTTATTAACTCCTTATCCTTTACCCTTTATACGCCGGTTCTATTGGTCAGGGGAACTTTCGATTCACACACACGGTACATTTAAATCTCTTTATTATCAAAACAAATTAACAATTGATAGTTACAATGTGCAAAACGACAAATATGTTTTATAATTTGTGCATAACAATATCACCGAGATATATGAATATACGAACATTACAAATATATCTATTTCTATTCTAATATAAAAAAGCGTAAACACACGATTCTTTGTTGGACAAGATGTCAGGAATTACAGTACATTTTTGAATAATTAATCTTTTAAGAAAAAACCCTACACTTACGTTACGCTTTAGGCTATATATTTTCACGTCATTAAAATTAGGGGGTAAATATTTTGGATAAAACCCTAATGTAGGAAAGAGACCATAAGTTGCTGCCAACATCAAGGAAGCAAGATTGCCAAGTTTTGTCATGTCATATCAATTTGACATTTGCAATTGACAATTTGACACATGTAAAGAATAAAATAATTTATGCTGACGAAATCGCACAGGATGTAATATGAAATAAAATTATACTTTAGGACTCGAATCTTTTATTTTGAACATAATTATGCTGGTTTTAAGTTAATTATTTTGTACTTGAATACTGGTAACATTTTAAAATTGCAACGTATTTTATAAAACAAACAAGTTAGTTATCACACAAATCAAAATGCTATCAACAACGTAAGCTAATAAATTGGCCTAAAAATAAAATTTAACAATACGTTTCATGCGAATGACTAGCAAAAACGAGTAAATAATAAGTACCAAAGTATTATGTCTCTATAGAGGTTACATTTAACGTTTTACATTAACTGTTGTTGAAAAAGAATAAAACCTAAAAGCAAGGAACCAAAACACAGCATTTCTTTACCATTATAATAAAATGTGTTTTTATTTAATTATTCCAATGCACAGCTATAGAATTACATAAATGTAGATCTAAATTCTAATATAAAATGACTAATCTATGCATTTAGATTTGACTTTACTTTTTTTTATCAAAAGCCCAAAGGCAAGCGTTAAGCATGGCTCAGCCACATAATTAGTAAGGTTAGAATTTGCAAAAAAAAGCAAACCGAATAAATTTCTGACTCATTCAGCCAGTTTCCCTCCTTTTAAAAAAGTTGTTCTTAATTTTAATCCAACTAAAAATAAATTAAACAGCGGTTTTTAGTATTAAAAAAGTTAATTATAGATAACTAATAGAGACAAACACAATATAATTATTTAACAAATTAAAAAATCTCACTTTGTTATTGACAACCATTGTAAAAAATGCACTTAATTCTATATTCTTTGTAAATAAAACACTGGGTAACAACGACGAAAGCAGATCACGAAATCCGTTTTTAATTTTAATTTCTTTAGACAGATAATAAAACGAAAGAACATGTCAAAATCTACATTTAAAATAATCGAGACATTTTACATTTAAAGTAAATTATACGATAATAAATTAAAATTGTGATGACATTTGCAATTGAGATCTGCATTTTGCTGCGTATCGTTTAAAACAGCGTAATGCGCGGTTTACACTTGGCCAGTACAGTTGGTCAGTAGCGAATATTACTGGACTGTCAATCAATGGTACAGTGTGAACGCTAACTGGCGCAACTGTCTATCCAAGTGTGAATCTGGCATTACTTTGGCGCGCAATTTGTCAGTTTCTAAACTGCGCTCTTCATCTCTTGTTTGACGCATGTCTTGAACGCTTCCCAGCCTTCGTTCTTTGCATAAGACTGAAAAACAAAATTTAAACATTAAATACACTATATTTTTTTCTTTACAATTACAATACATTACCTAACGGGTTGCTTTATGATTGTAAACCTCTCTTTTGCACAAAAAAGCAAAGATTTTCGTGCAGTTAGTATCATATTACAAACATTAGTAGATTATTTGAAATTAACTATTATTTTTTGTAAATGAGCTGGAATAGAGTTTTATTATTTTATTTCACATAGGACTAATGTATCCTTTTTACTTATGACGTCACAGCTATGGCTTACCTTAAATCCGCGATGCAGTCGGTCCTTCATAATGGCGATGAATTCTTTGTAGCTGAGCAAGCCGTCGCCGTCCGCATCAAAGATGGCGAACACGGTACGCACTAAGTGCTCCGACTGCGACACGCCTGTGCAGATCTTAACCGCGCGATGGAACTCATCTACACAAGTGTAAATACATTTTTTGCTAGAATATTCTAGTCTTCTAGACTGAGACTAACGTTAAAAACGTTGTCAACAAAATGTATGGTCAATCTGACCATATAATTAAAAGTACAGAAATGTAAGAAGAATTGCCTTAAAATACTACACAATTCTTTATAGTAATAACATCAAAATATGCGCTACTTTTCTGTTAAAGGCTATAATCAACTATAATAAAAAATGTTAAAGCGTTTCTATAGTTTTTCATAGTCGGCTATATGCCGCCCTCTCGTTCCCCTTAACACGTCTGGGAAGGGACTTTAGTATCTTTGTTTCTTTATTTAAAAATTAAAAGTTAAAATTACAATAATTGTTAATGTTTCTATACCTTTCGAGATGGGATGATCAGCGAGCGTGTACATCCGCATAGCGATAGTAAAATCCTCCAAATTATTGAGAAATTGGCAGAAAGTCTTGAACTCGTCAAACGTAACTCCACGTTCATCTCTCACGCGATCCAACAGTCGATCCAAATACATATCATACTCGTCTGTATCCAAATATGTATATCGGAGTAATATCTTAGCGAAGTCCACTTCGGATATGGTTTCGTGACCTTTAGAGAACTCGTGGAACTCAAGTTCGAGAACTTCAGTCTGCAGGTTCTCCATAAACTGACGGAAGCCTTCGAATTTGAGATCGTTGGTGCCTTTCTTACCGAAGAAATGGACCTGAAACACAATAACTCACGTCTAAGAAAAACACTAAAATAACGATTCTTTTTACATATTAAATAAAGAAATGCGTCTAGAAATTAAAGTGTAAATATTTTGATTTTTTACTCTTATTTTGTCGGTCTGCCGGTCTTACCTAAAATAAAACTAGCAATCTATACTAATATTATATTATCTATTAAAATAACTGGGCCGATTTTAAAAATTCTTTCACCATCAGAAATATTAAATAAAATTATAACCTAACTTTACTATAAATAATTTAGTCCAATAAATTACCTGCAAGAATGTATCGACATTGTGCCTACGCTGCAAGCCCTGGTCGTCGTTAACGTACGTGTCTTGAGGCCCGTTACCTTTGTCGTCTTTGCCCTCCTCCTGCTCATTGCCGATACCCCTTTTGCCCTTCCACGCGAAGCTGAAGATCTTCTCCATCTATATTACAAGGAAGTGTTATAATTATATTGTGACTTTTAGTTTTTTTTTTAACTTTGATTTACGTCGTTTAATTAAATCAAATCAGATTTTGTGCGATGAAATTTAAAAGCGAAAAATGTGTTCAGTTTAAACAATATCACATTTATTTAAAACGGTAATTAACGATGGTTATTGTTTTTTATTATGGCAGTCCTTTTAACACCATATTTTCATGCGAAGCAAATCTTTTTGCTAACCAATCGAACGTTAGAAATCTTTAAATAACGCACACAGAGAAAATGCTGGTCGAAAACATTAAATAATACCATAGTGTGTAAATTAAATTAAAAAATAAAACATAAAGAAATAACATTTAAAGATCACAAGAGCGAAATAAGTTTTATGCATGGTAACATTTAGCATGAAATAGAGAACAACACAACAAAATAATAAGAAGAGAAGAGTGATATTAAAATCTTTTTAAACAATACACACGAGTTATAACTATACTGAGAAGAAAATTAAAAATATGGCCATGGATTTCTCCAGCTGAAACACCTATACATTTAAAAACATAAAAAAGAACCTCAAAAATGTTATCAAAGAGTAATCGATATGTTGTAGAGGCGTTACAGTAACCAATGGTAAATGAAAGAATAAAATTACGACAAGTGTTGCATATAAAGTATAGTACAAATAACTTGTATTATACTTTTCTAATATCTTGGCGGCTTAGTCATCGGCACACTGAGCATTGTTATTGTTACCTCGCATTTCGGTATCCCCACGACACCTAAACTTGTGTTCTACGATTCTTAAAAATAACCTCCAAGATATATGAAATGATTCGGAAAAAGTCACATACAAAAATAGTATTGAATTTAAACTCCACACAACATTCATAACGAAATTCACATAAAAGAGTTCCACAGACACATGACCAATTTAAGTTGACCCTTAGTAACTTACTGTAGACGGTTTATAAACATTTTCTTTTTGCTCCAGTTTGCTCTTCAATGCACTTGTAGATACTAAGGTAAGCAGCTAAGGTGAGTAGATAACATAAATACATATTAATAATATATTAATTACATATTAAATTATATAAAGCTAGCGAAATATGTATAAAAAAATAGCAATAAACATATAATTAAAGAATGTTATTCACGGAAGCTTCACGACAATATTTTACCAATGGTTTGGGAAAATATAGGAAATGGATAGGACATTTTGATATAAAAGTGATAGAATTTGAACTTAAAACGAACATATTGTATTAACATTTAAAACAGTGATGACACTCAAAGTGTGGTAATTACATAATTATTTGAAAGGATAGAGACATGATCATTGTTTATTAATGAACATTAAATTTTGGACATTGAAAATATTACTAAAAAATCTACCAAAACCGGAAAAAAGAACGATAAAAAACCTAAACATAAACTCTTATGCCTAGTTCGCACCAGGCCAGTTTTAGTCGAGTATCGAGTAATTTTAATAGTATTTTTTAATTACTAAAATACTCGGTACTCTACTAAAACTTACAGTGAACTACGTCTCCACACCATCTCTCGTTACCGTGGTAAGTCAAAATATGTGAGAGTCCAAAATATAATGGTCACTAAGGTAAGGATTGCGGATATTTTGCGGAAATTTGCGGCAACAACTCACTGCCTGCTGGCTGTGCGGGTCCAAATCTTTGCGCTCCTTCAGTGAGCCTCCGAGCAGACGCTGGATCTACATTCACATCGCAACACATGCTCAGATGATAAAATAAAATAGATTAAAAAATAAATAAAATATACTAAAATAAACAAGCTCTACTAAAAGTTATAACCTCTAATGTGCTGCTACAAAGCTAAAACTAGACTATTTTGGTCACTAGAATAAACTGCAAACTAAAATGTAATGACTAAAGTAAAAGTAAACCTAATTACAATAAATACCTTAAGTATAAAACCATTTACGAAAGCCTAACAGAACTTGTAGTTAAAATATAACACCTCTCCAGTTTAAATATTCTTCGTATTCTGTAAAATTGCTTTTAATATTTAAAAAATGACAATCATACTCACGACTAGAAATTCGTTCTTATCTACTCTTTGGTTGCCGTCCGTGTCGAACATGTTGAACGCTATTTGAAAACCTGACGCCGGCTCTGAAAGAAGAAAAAAACAATAAAAAAAAACAAAATCTACACCACTATATAAACTTTTTTTTACACAATTGGCACAGTGTATACTCTTTGATTCTATCAGCCGTCATATTTGAATTCACTATATCAATAATATTATCTCTGGTCTTCTACCTTTAATTTTATTATTCATAACTAGCTGTTCCCGTGCGGCTTCATCCGCTTCAAATGTATTTTATTATTTACATTTGTCAAATTATCAATTGCAAATGTCAAAATGACAAGACATGATGACAAACAATGGCAATCTTGCTTCCTTGATGTTGGCAGCAACTTATGGTCTCTTTCCCACATTAAGGTTTTTATGCAATTTATTTACACCCTAGGTTTAATAGCGTGAAAATATATAGCGTGCCATGAGTGTTGAGCTTTTTATTTAAGATTGAATTATTCAAAAATATACTGTCATTGCTGACATTTTACGCCACAAAGTAGTGTGTTTACGCTTTATTATATTAGTATAGATAATATAATACCAAAAAAAATATATAATACTTACTGGTCAATATCGATAACAGGAATAGATATTCAGTGTACGAAATGATACCTGAAAGATAAAATGAATTGTGGTTATCCTTTACCACTGGACTAGACGAATTGTTTCGATTTATTGCGTAAAGTACTTACCCTTGTCCCTCATGTTTCGGAACATCTGCGAGGAGCCTTTCTTGAGCGGCGGCGTGTGGTCGCGTAGTTGTTCGATTTCCTTCGTCGTCAGCACACGCCTTTTCAGACGAGCTGCCAGAAAACAAAAAAATAACCATTATCATCTATAGTAAACAGTCAGCTTGGGCTGCTTGTGTAGTATTGAATGGATGAAGTAGAGATAATTTCTAAAGCGTACCGAGGAATGAAGTGTTCATTCGCCAATTAACTAATGACTTTAAAACCTCTATATCTACTTTATCCCCTAAATTTGGGCTTTGTAAAGTAAAGGGTTCGTCTTTTTTTATTAATCGTGTTATTTCTTTTTATTATAAGTTGATAAATGAGCAAGCGGCAACCTAAGTTCGCGGAAATGGTGAAGCGACCGCTGCCCATAGACATCCGCAATTGCAGATGCGTTCCCTACTCTACACATAAACAGGATATTTCCCGTTCATATGCATCTCCTTTGCCGTCAAATACACTTTCCTCCTCATCCTTCCCTCTTAAGAAAAGGATGGAAAAGAAAGGGACTGAATTTAGGCCTCCGGCACCACACTTATCAGACGAATTTCTCCCATTTCACGCTTGTCTTCTGTGTGGTCGTGGTATGATACCGGGCGAGCCAGCCCATTCGCACGAATGTTATGTGACTTACGTCTAGGTTCCTGCTCGACGACGGACTCGAGGAAGTCTTGTGGCGTCATGTACAGTTGGCCGCCGTGCTCCGCGCTCGCGAACTTTATAAACCGACGCTCTCGTGACGTCAGTTTCACGGACTTCGATAACTCCTCCGGTTGCTGTAACATTATAATAGGCGTTTAATGCAAAATACAACCTCTTTGTGTACTGACCACCAAGACTTTTGTGTACCTAAGTATTAAAAAGACAATAAAAACAGAAGGTAGTAGAAGTGAGTACGGGGAATAGCTGTTTATAAGAGATTTGCAGAACAATATGTAAAAATGTAGATAAGAGTAATTAAATTGGTTTATTAGTGTATTTTTAATTTTAATTTTAATTATTAGGTATAGTGAATTTTTCGCTGCCGCTTTCGGTAACAAGTTAACCAATAGGATAGTCAAGATATCTGGTACAATGCTATAAGTGCAACTAAAGTATGATTACTCACTAGCGCCCTCCTTTTTTGCCATTATACGTCCATGTAGGTTTTACATATTTTCTGACAGAACCAACCGATAGATATCCTATTGGACTGAGTTTAACGCAACTGTAATCTTTATTTTGTTATGTTTGGACACTTGACTTTTTAGCTAAATTCGCTGTTTGTTCTTTATTACGACTTTAATATTCCAATTCTTGTTATGGAAGATCTTGAATTATTTACACATAATGAGAGAAACTGGAATGTTTAGTGTTGTTTTATTTCATCAAAGTGAGAATTATTTAGCATTTGACCTGAGAGCCCGGACGTTATTTACCTTTCTTTGATGTATCCTCTTGAATATTTCATTCTACTTAGCTTTGATCCTACCATAGAGATTTAGGATTCTTTCATTGTTAGAAAGATAATTTAACGGTAAGTAACATAGGCTGTTTTTTTTATCATTTTTTAATTTCACGCGGACGAATTCGCTAGCAACAGCTAGCCTTTGTACATAACGTAAGTTTCATACATTGAATGTAATAAATAATATAAAGTTAATAAAAGCGAGATACGAAGTTAAAACGGCTACTTACTTTGAAGACGAATGAACACACGTGGTTTACGACTACGTAATATATGCCACTACCGCTGTGTAAAGCATAGCGGGTAGCGGGTAGCGGTAGCTTAGAGTAAACCCTGCTCTTTGACATTGGAATATTCAATAGACAAACACCCGTTACTTCAATTCATATGTTTATTTTGTGTCCAAACAATTTATCAAGGGTGTTACATGTCGATGTTCTAGAGAGGTGCTAGTACTAAAATCTGCCCCCGCCCTGCTTCCTTTTGGAGACACACATGCATCCCTTTGTTGTTACATTTTGGTCTCTATTAGCTAGTCATTTTTGACTAATTACATTTTTTTTTCACTCCCAACCGCTTTCCGCTAGCTAATGTATCCACAACCGAATGTGAGACAAAGATAAGGTGCGTTTTAAATAACTAACAAAGTTGAACAAAGCTCTTAGCGATTCTTTCTGTTGGAGCGTTCCTTCCGAATATTATTTTTACTGTGGAATGCGGAATGCGTTTCTTCCGCGTATCGGGTGTCTAATGCGGAGTTGATGTAACCCTTTTGGTGATAAGTGTATGTATGGGTAACGGTGGGGAGCCATCAAGGTTAACTGACAGAAGCAGCTGTTAATGAAGTCTATATTTACTAGCTGTCCCCCGCAACTTCGTCTGCGCGGAATAAATGTTTAGTAGCCCGTGTTTTTCTAGACTATGTTCTACATTTCAGACATTCATGGAGATTTGTTGAGCGGTTCTGGACTCTAAACTTTTATTTTCGATTTATTAAATACTTAGAAAGGGATAGTGTAAATAAAGAATTAAGTTTCAATTTGTGTTTAATTTAGGCAAAAGTGTTATAAAATCGGTTATATCTATACTATTATAATAAAGCGTAAACACACACTTCTTTGTTGCCTAAGATGTCAGCAATTTCAGCATTAAATAACTCCTTTTTTAATAAAAAGCCCTACAGTTACGTCACGCTTTAGGCTATATATTTTCACGCCATCAAATTTAGGGGGTAAATATTTTGGATAAAAACCCTAATTTTGGAAAGAGACCATAAGTTGCTGCCAACATTAAGGAAGCAATATTGCCATGGTTTGTCATCGTCATGTCATTTTGACATTTGCAATTGATAATTTGACACATGTAAATAATAAAATAAATTATTCATAATCATATGCGGATTAAGTCGCACGGGAACAGCTAGTATCATCTTATAAACCGTTAAATTATATGCTGTTAATACAAAAACAAAACGATTTCTATATCGTAACATTTCACGAGCCGTTAGCAACCAGCCTCCCGCGAAACGATCGTATCCCGCGGCCACTAAATAACAAAACAAATATAAATCTCTTATCGCTGTAATAAATTGCCTTAGAATCGGAATGAAGCTAGGCATTGTCCGCTTTAACAGCCGTTTAGCTACAAATATGGCAATAAATTAGCCGCACCATCCCCTAAAACGGCTAAATGTGACAAAATGAAACGGTAAATCTTCACAGCAGTGATTACCATACGTTAGGGAACTTGTAACTCCTTTAACAATAGCCGATTGGGGTGATAAACAATTTATATTGTTTTTTGTGCATATCCCAAAGGTTAAAAATAAATAAGCGAGATTTTATTGCTTGGAATAGTTTTTAAAAAAGCACTATTTTGACTTGAGATTGATTAAAATGATCGTAAACTTCAATCATTCTTTCATTCTTTTACAAATACTGTCTGTTAATCCTTTTACCTATTTTTTATTATTACTAGATTTCGCCCGCTACTCCACTTGCGTGGAATAAAAAAAAACAAAAGCGAGTATCCTATATGTTTTTCCAGATTATTCTTTACGTCTATGTCAAATTTCATCCGTTGAGCCATTTAGGCTACAAACTCTAAAAAACATTCATCCATACATCTAAACTTTTGCATTTATAATATTAGTAAGATTAATAAAATAAACCTTTTTACCTTATTTTTATATTATAGCTAACTTTCGCCCGTAACTCCGCATGGAATTAAAAATAAACAAGTACCCTATGTGTTCTTCCAATCTATCCTCTACATCTATACCAAATTTCATCGAAATCCGTTCATCCGTCTACAAACTCTAACGTCCATCTATCCATCTATCTAAACATTCGCATTTATATTAGTAAATGATATGAAGTAATAAAACTGTACAGTTTAACAGTTAATATGTGTACACGTTAATTGTAACTGTACAGTTGAACTTTAAAACTGAATATGTGAACTAACCTTCATTCAATAACGTAAAGTTCCTATTGCATAATCGTAATATAATGACAGCCAATCGAGGCATCCGATATAGGTGTTAAAACTTCTAATATGCACATAAAAATACTTGAACAAAGTCTATTAGGTGTGTTTAATGTCGCTGTGATACTAAACAATGTCTGGTATGTAATAAATAAAACGAACCGAGAAATGTCGCCTAACGCTAAGATATTCACGCATGTTCGCTTGATACTTGATTACAAAACTGTCACATTGTATAGGCATTGTCATATATCTTGGAGGCTCGGGATATACAAGGTGTAAAGGGATGCGGAGTGATGACTGTGCATCTCGAGCTGGGGTGATATTTGAATGGAAGTATACCTATTTATTGTTTTGTTTGTGATACAAACAACGTGATACGTTATGTTGTAATGAGCCTTTCTTTTGTCAACAAGTTCTTACTAAGATGTAAATTGTGGTCAATAGATTACAAATCTCTAAATATAACTGTAGATATTATTATTACAGAAGTGTTCTCAGAAAATAGACGTGAGATGCGTTACAGATTCTAGACTAGACTAATTTATAGTCTTTTCGTTTATACCTAATTAAAGAAATATTCGTGGATTTATTGTCACGTTAAATCAGATTACAGTTAAGTGTAGGCAGAGATAAAATATTCGATTTTTTTCGTTGGAAGTCTCATTTAATTAGGACCCTATAGCCTACAGTTAGACCAATAATATTTGTTTTTGACGATCAACTAAGTGTTTGAAGCAAGAAATACTAGAGAAGTATCACATCATACATAAAATAAAAATAAGGTAAGCTAATATAAAGGGTGTTTTTATGTTTATAAAGTCAGTAATAAACCTTGCAGCCGCCGTATACTATGTTGCATCTTAAGTTATGTATTCCAAGTAATCTATCTATACTAACATAAGAAAGCGTAAACACACACTACTTCGCGGCGTAGGATGTCAGCAAACAGCATGTATTTGAATAACTCTTTCTTTAATAAAAAGCTCTACACTTACGATACGCTTTACACTATATATTTTCAAGATATTATACTCAGGGGGTAAATAAATTGGAAGCAAACCTTCATGTGGGAACCTTAAACTACACTGTCAACATTAAGGAAGCAAAGTTATTATGGTAACGGTAATATTGACATTTGCAATTGAAAATTCGACAAATGTAAATGTAAGTTTTTATATTTTCATGCGAATAAAGTCGCACGGGAACAGCCAGTAAGTAAAAGTGTCTACAACTTTAAAGTTGCTACATAACGCAAACCTACAGTCTTAATTGCTATCAATTTATTGGAAGACACCATACGTATTGCGTTAAGTCCCGCTCGTTCCGGCAGAACGGTGTACAACTAAAACTTAATCGTTTAACTGCTATTATCGCACTGTAGGTGCGCATTAAATCGTCCTATTGAATAGGGTGACTATGAGTTTGTTAGGAAATGTCATATTCCACAAAATTGATACTTTTTACACAACTCTTATTTAAAAATGTTTAGTAGTTTTGATTGTGATTTTATTATTAGTGATTTATGAAGTTTTTACTTTACAGACACGATTCTAGCGTTACCGGAGTCCAGGGCGAGATTTCTACGGTGTCCCTTTAGGTCCGTCGCTGGACGGACGCCCTACCTAACCTTAGTAATCTACCGCAGTTAGTGCTTACATGTTTATATTTTTTAAATTGCTATTTAGATTTAGTCGAGATTTTTTTCTGATTTGAGTCTTTTTAACCATTAAATATATATCATGGCATCACTACATGATATTTATAATTTAGGAAGAGACATTGCGAAGTGGGCCGACGAGAAATATGAAAGCGTAGGTTCAGAGCACAGAGCTAACAATT